CAAAGTAGCAACATAGAGGTAATTTTACATGCTTGTTTCTTCTGATATGGAGGTGTTACAGGTGTCATTCTTTGAATAATGGAGGTTTCCACTTAATTTATATTTTGATTATTGGAGAATTTGGTTTGGCTGTCATGTAGAATAACCTTGAATCATAGTAGTTCATCTTCTTTTGTCCATAATAATATGTAGTCAGTAAGCACATTTCAACTTTCTGGACTAGAAGGCGCTGTCATTCATCTGTGTTTCAGGCAGCTTTTTCTTTCACTTCAAATGCTTGAAAACATTGTTGTCATCTGTTTTTATATCTTTACAATAGTTCTAGTTACATTCCTCATAATAACTGTTGAGGTCCAATAGGACTTTATGCTCATTGTAGCAATTACAACACCTTACTGTAATAACTAGAGCTGTCACTGCAATCATAAATGTTTTTATCCGTATCATTTCTAGCCGGGTCTTCGTTTACACTAGTATTTTCAATGGGACCGAGGCTATCCATTGATTTACTTAGCCCGCATCTGTATTCTAATTCCCCCTTAGACAAGATCAAATTGAACCATGATTTTTCCATAGAGCTTTCTTGCCTCTATTTACATGAAAGTACAATAGATGAATAGTCATTCGATGAAAAATCAACTGAATATTTTATTTAATAAGTTACTGTACCGCATGGATTTCACATCATGTGCCACCATTCTTCAGAACCAATCTGGTTTGACCATTATTTTGCAATGGCTCTGCTGTTGTCTGAAGCAAATATGTCTTTACATAAGAATAAATAATTAAGTTGTTATGTGGTATTGTCTGCCTGCAGATAGCCCCCCCTGCAATTTAATTGAATTTTTATGTTCCAGGAACTTGTCGATATTGAAGTTTTCCAAGAAGCTAAGAAAGTCATTGATGCCCTTAGAAATCAGGATGTGGGTCCTGCCCTTGCCTGGTGTGCAGATAACAAATCACGGTTGAAGAAGTCCAAGGTATGCTCTCATTGTGTGTTCTGAATTATGATGATCATTACTCTCTTTGTGTTTCACTTGGTGTGGTTTTAACCTTTTTCCAAGGCCATGATTCTTTAAGAGTTAAATATAATTGAGCTTTCATGATGCTATTTAATTACTTTCTTAATTGCATTCATTAGACTCAGATGATCTTTACTCTTTAGTAATCTTTCAATAATTTGTGGGTATCCCAACTTGGATTAGAAATGTGATTTAGATTGTATCTGGGACTGGGAATGTGTTTCATATTGAATCTTTTAGTTGATTTCGAGCAGAGCAAATTCGAATTCCAGTTGAGACTTCAGGAATTCATTGAGTTGGTACGAGCTGAAAACTACATGCGTGCTATTTTGTATGCTCGAAGGTACCTTGCACCATGGGGAGCTACTAATTTGAAAGAATTGCAGCAGGTCATGACAACATTGGCCTTTAGAAGTAATACCGAATGTGCAAAGTACAAGGTGAATATTACACCTCTTTTCATTAGACTACCGGTTCAGGTTACTTAATTGTTTGATGCTCAGTTGAATGACCGGTTGATGAAAGAATAGGCAGTAACGGGAGCAAAGGAAAAATCAACAACTGTCTAGCTCAGTTTATTTAATGAGGTCAATTGTTTGTTTTCCATGATTGATGACATTGTAAATTTGGAGCATACTTCAAATTAATGTAGAAATAGATAAATGATCTTGTTTTGCATTTGACACATAATTTTATATTTGGATAAGATGCCTAGAATTGTATTATATTAAATCATTACATCTTTTGTCTAAATTTTGCCCCAACGCTGATCAATCATAATGCTTCCTTTTAGCTATGGCCTTAACCCTTAACAATAGGACTTTATACCATCTTATTGGTTCTAATAGCTTGGGTTTGGACAATGCTCACCCTATTTGTTTTATGATACGTTGCCAGGTTTTGTTTGATCCAAAGCAGTGGGACTTCCTGGTGGATCAGTTTAAACAGGAGTTCTATGGTTTATATGGCATGACCCCGGAGCCATTGCTGAATATTTGTCTACAAGCAGGCTTGTCCGCATTGAAAACTCCGTATCCTCACAGAAGCTACCATTATGTAACTGCTTATTCATTTATCTATGTTTATTTGCAGTTTAGAAGCTCCAGCGATGTTAGCAACGAATTTAACTGATATGATTTTTGAGCAGTCCTTGAATTAGCATTCTGGGTTACCATGAAGTTGTAGGAATCTTACATTGCCTGTGTGTTGACATACATGCTTGCATGCATGTCTTTAACAAGTACATCTAAGCTTTGATATTTCTGCATTTCCCTTGACATAACTAGATACTGTTATGAAGATGACTGCACCAAGGAGGACCCATTGTCACAGGACAACTTCCGGAAGTTAGCAATGCCATTGCCCTACTCGAAGCAGCATCATTCAAAGCTTGTTTGCTACATAACCAAAGAGTTAATGGATACAGAGAACCCACCTCAAGTCTTACCTAATGGCTATGTCTACAGCACTAAGGTTCGCAACAAACTTTCACATTTTTACCGCTGACTTTTATGTTTCCATTGGATTCAGTCAAGTGATGAAAAAAATTAGAGCAGACAGGCCGGTCCAACCAGTTGAACCAAGAACTGGTTGTCCGTGCTTTGTGGCATTATTTGTAAAACTATGTTTTCTTTGAACCAGTGGAAAGTTAACATTTATATTTAACATTCAAATTACTTTTTATATACTTAAGGCTATTTTGATCCACCGGTTGGAATTTTGCTTATTGGAAAATGTCGATATGTACAAGATCTTGTAGCATCAAACCTTAGGTCCGACTGGTTTGATTTCCAGCCGTTTTTTTTAAACGTTGGTTAAACTTTTGGTTTCCGGCAGGCTCTCAAAGAAATGGCCGAGAAAAACAACGGGAAAATTACATGTCCAAGGACGGGTCTGGTCTGCAATTATTCTGAACTGGTTAAGGCCTATATCTCATAAATCTGACACGCTCAAGACTGCAAAGGTAACAAAAAGGAACTCTTCTTTGAACTGTTTCCTCGTATTACTGGTAATCTTCCGCGTCATCTGTAGATGTTCCCCGCTGCTTTCGAAATTTACGAAACATCGATTTAAGAACTTAACACCGTAATTCTTCTTGCACCTTAAACTTGTTAGGGTATATAATGTTTTTCTTATGTAAATATGCATCTGAAAGTCGCATTGGTTTAACTTTCGATCCGGTTTTTTTATTTACTAATTTCATGTAGAATATCATTGTAGGAGTAGAGATATCTCGAGTCACTTTAGGAACAAGGAAAGAGGATAGCATTGTCTTGGCAAAGATCAAAATCCCTTTTGAGTACTTGTTATTCATATGAGTTGAGAAACTTCTCAAATTACGCCAAATTCTGTAAAATATCCCCTTATTATTTGTTTTTTATGGATTTAATCCCTCTACTATAATTTGATCATTTCATTTTTTATTTAAGGATAATTTTATCGTTTCTAGTTTCTACATTTTGGAACTTGAGGCTAATTTTTCATGAATTACGTCAAATAATTTAATGCAATTATTTTCTAATATATAAGATGTGGCATACTTATACATGTTAGAGGTGTATTCAGCCTTCAAAATAGTCCCCCTTTTTTTTTATTAATTATCGTAATATCCGATCGTTAACCTTTAATCTGGATCGGGTAATACGAAAGTCTATTATGGAGATGACTTTTCAGATCTAATTTACTTCATTCATAATATCAAGATTTGAATATTTAATTTTGCTAAAGGAATATAGTCTTGTTCTTTGTCTCATTAAACCAATTGACTATTGGTACCTTTGAAATTTTTTATTATTATTTTTAAAAAAACTTAGTTACCTAAAGTTGTAAATCTGTTAAAAACTGATGTGGCTTGTCATAAATACATCCTGTGGCTCAGATGTTTAATAGTTCTTTTGGATACTTTATTGTAATTATACAATACTTTTATCGGTTTGACACTTGTATTATCATTTTTGCTTACGTTGTTACCTTATTATAATTTTCCATTAAAATATAAGGAAAAATATAAGAAAATCCTAAAAAGTTCTTCAAAATAAAAAAGCAATCGAAAACTTTAAACATGTTCTGATGTTTTGGAACTTTTATAATTCTATAATTATATTATAATTTTTTGAAAATAAATTTAAAATAACCACATTTTAAAAATAAAAAATATATAAATTTAACTTTTTAAAAGAGATTTTTTAGGATTTTCTCATATTTTGCATTTTTAAGATTTTTACCTTAACTAAACATGACAATTTTGAATTGGGCATTTTTTTCCTTTTAAGAATAGACAAAATCGAGCCAAGTATAGGAACAAAACAACTATTAAATTATTAAAATTCTTAAGAGAATAAAAAGTAATCTCTAAGTTTGAAAAATATATCAACAACTTTAGAAATAATTACAGACAAAATCTATAAAAAAATCCAACTTTGATATCCTTACCATATTGGCATTGTTCAAGAACAAAAAGAACATTTACAAGAAAAGAGAGATTATTTTCAAGTGCTAGGGGTTTTCTCTTTCCTCTTTTCATACCTCTTATGATTCCTTTCAAGATTGTTTTTTAAATATAAATGTAATAAATTTTACATCCAATTAGACCAGAAAGCAGAAATCGAGCCTAGACAATGTGAGGGGTGGAACAACTCTAATCACTAAATCACGTAATCTTTGTAGTAAAAAATTTACAATAGACTAAATGATTTTAATATATATATATATATATATATATATATATAATTATCAAATATTAACATAAAAATAAAATATTTTTAAAAGAAGTATTGAGGGGGTCAGACACGACTGAGTGATCATTTACAAATCCGCCGACTCGGACAAAATTTGAAGTCCATATTTTGACGAATATCGAGTCTAGACAAACATGAATTATATATTAATCTCGTGCATAAACCTGAATCGATCCATTAACACCTATACTCACATACAGCAACTGGCATAAAAGAAAAGGAACGAGGAGGTAAAGGCCAATGACAAAACTAGAAACACCCTTCCTTAGCACAAATTGGTAGATTCAAATTCGAGTAGTAGCACCAGATCCATCAGTGACTACGACAGTCAAATGATGAAATGTTTTTATCGCAGTACCAAAGGCAAAATAATAGAGAACAATAAATCTTAATAGTGCTTGATGTTCAAGAAATAGGAAGTTATCCAAGATATAAAAACTCAAGTTCCTGCAAACCGAGATTCGTCACCAAGACATACCAATTCAAACCACCATCGATTAATTTGATTCACTGCGTCTAGGAGAAGCATGATTATCCTCGTCATCGTAAATAGGGCTCCGGTCATCCCTAGGGGCTGGGCTAGGGCTGCGGCTCTGGCCGTTCTCTTTCTCTTTCGGAGAGCTCTTATAAGCCCTGTCCTCAGCACCAACTTCACGATCTGGGCTTCTGTTTCTTCCCCTCGGACTTGCACTGTAATCTGAACCATTGTTGTTCCTGCCCCTGGCATCCCTTGGGGAAGGGCTATCTTTCTCTTGTGGTGGGCTTCTTTCATTGGGAACCGGACTACGCTTCTTCCCTCCGGATGGTGATGCAGATCCCCTGTGGCGCTTAGGGCTCCTTGATCTTCTATCGTAACGCTCCAAACTCCTTTCTCTCTTTGCAGGTGATCTCGATCTACTGCATAAAGTCAAGATTGAGCGCAAAGAAGACTAAGCCCCAGAAGTAACAAAATAAAACAATTCTATCAATTAAATCTCCCTTAGTTATCTTGACCTGCATGGGATGGCAGGGTAGGTCATGGACAATCGAATAAAAAAGATGGTACATTTTAATTTTGTCATAGAAAGTAATACAACAAAGTGAATTCACATAAGACTCGATATTTTCAAGGTACTAAAGTAGAAAAGCCATCTATATTTCAGAACTGAAATCCTGTTGCAGGAAAGTTGACAAACCTGGCATTGTGCCTTGCGTGATAACTGCGGCTTCTGCTTCTACCACGACGGGGACTAGGCGAGCGTGAGTAACTACGGGGTCTACGGCTGCACCAACAGAGTAGTCTCATAACTAAATGATATGGAAGCTAATGATAAAATAACATAACACATCCATCCAAACCAAACTGATCAAAATAAAAAGAATAGCAAGATAGGACCTTAGTTTCTTAGGACTGTTCTGACAATTTCTTTCTATGTGGCCTCGTTCTCCACAACGATAGCACTTATTCTTCCAATCCCCAGCTTTGCAATCACGGGCCCAGTGGCCATCAATTCCACAGTTGAAGCAGCGTCCTGACCCAGGAGTAGGCCCTCTTCCAGGGTAATCACGAGACCCACCAGGGCCACGAGGTACCTAAATTACATGTCAGATCAGATTCAATGATCAAGAAATATTACCAACAAACTTCACAATGAATTCCAGGACAACAATCAGTACAAGGATTTGGAAACAACAGAATAAAATGATGCAGTGCCTATGCAACCCCAGGGTATATAGAGAATAACTTATATTAGAATGATCATACATTTTTTAAGACAGAAATTGTTTATTCCACACTCACCAACTTATATCAGGATGATCATAATTATTTTTTCAAATATATATATATATATATATATGTATGTGTGTGTGTGTATACTCTTTAACAAGATTTAACTCTAATTAATTTATTTTAAAAACAACAAATTATATTAAATAAATGAAAATTTTGAAAAAATTGAAATCAGTTCGGAGTGTATAGGGGAAACCAAATGTCGCCATATTAGACCAACATTCCCATCCGTATCTCTCTCTACCCTTCAAATTTCACCATCTCTCTCTGCCTTTCAAATTTCACCATTCGGTTGTATATTCAAAACCGGTCGACTAAAATTTGGGAATTTTATTAGATGCAAAATAGGCCATCACACAGCAGGCCAACATATTAGGTAAAATACTCACATGTGTCACATCAAATAGACATGCAATGAGCGCATATGCAAATAAAAAGAAGGTTAACGAGTCATGCTGCAAGGCTGAACTGAAAATGGGGATTTTATGGTTCACATCACCCAAAGATCTGAAGGAATTAAAGAAATGAATTCATTGTAAGATTAACCGGTGAAAGATTAAACTAGTCAAGGGCTTACATGTAATATTAGTCCCTTTCAATATTATTGAGGAATTAATGTCTGAAAGACAACAAAACTTACCCCCTTAGCAAATTCAACAATGATACGGCTTCCATCTAAGTCTCGACCATTCAATGAATATCTTGCATCATCAGCATCTCTAGGGTCACTGAATTCCTGATATCCAGAAGGCAAACAACACATACACAAAAAGGAAAAAATATCCAAGCAAAACGATCATATTTTCAACATATGCTGAAGAAATTTATAGATAAGAGAAGTTGTTTTGATTTAAATTATGAGAGTCAAGAAATACATACAACAAATGCATAGTCGCGCTTCATATCCACATCACGTATTCTGCGCAAACGGGTGCCAGAAACAGTAAGGCCATCAAGACACAATTATCGAAGGGTTGATAGTTCGCCCCTCACAGTTGAACCAAAAACACCACTTTTGAGTTTGTTCCATTTCGATAAAAACACGCAATAACACTACAGAAAAACTCGCCAAATCCACCATGGCACCCTCTCACCATAGACCTCCAGGTTAGGCAAAAGCCAAGAGACCTTCAACAAGATCATTCAAGTTAAACCACACAGACACGTGATGGGGTGCAACATTCTCACTCATATTTTATAAGGAAGAACATATGTCAAGCACTACCACAAGGGCTTGGCAAGTGCTCTATTTTCTCCCACATCATCATCACTACACTCAGAACCTATCCTAATGGCCACCCATGCAAAAGAATAAAAAAATCATGAACACCCAAATAGAGAAAATGGAACACTTGAAACAAGTAAACTTAGCAAAAGAAACTATCAAACCACTCAACTAATTGTAACAATTAGTCAATTACAAAGTTTACAAATTCTTAAAATAAAAAGAGATTAGATTACCTCCCATATCTGCTAAACATGTCCTCGAGATCACGTGATCGTGTCCTTGATGATAGGTGACCCACATAAAGGCGAGTACCACTGCTGCGGCGATCATCATACCTAGGCATTTTTATTTACCTGCAATAACTATTTCCATAGAAACCAAAAACACACAATCACCCAGATTTACATATAACATGTCATAGAAGAAATATTTCTTTTCCTGCATAACACAACGGTCTAATTTGAGTTCAAGATGTCTTAAAGCTTCCTTTCAGTTGTGATTTCTACTGGATGCCTTCGCTCTCTAAAAGGTTACCATGGAAAACAGGAAGCCGTAAACTATTTTACATGTATCATACTAAACTTCAATGATAATTCTAGCATTTTTTATTTTCTCTAACAAATATAGAAATATAAATGCCTTGTTCATGCCAAAAGCATACCATTTTGATTTCCAAAGGGAAAAAGAAGAATCTTTACATCCAAATGCACACAAATATCAAGTGATAAAAGCCGCAACCATATAGAATCTAAATAAAACCTTGTTTCTATACACTAAAAAAGTCTTATTATGCATATCATAATGGGGAAGACACATTTTTTCTGAAATAATGAAAGAAAAGAACAAAATTCGCGTATTATTTAAATTTTCGGATTTCAATCTGTGATAAGCATAAATAAATAGTGAACTTTAAATTACAATTGCAATTACAATTACAATTAAAAAATCATGAAACAGGAAACAAACAAGCAAATGAATAAACGATATGCAGGGGAGAGATTAGCATAAAAAGCATCGAAATTCAATTTTGAAAACTCATCAACCTTTGAGATCTATAAATAAACAACAAAGAAAACGAATGTATAAGCTAATGAGAATCGAAATTGAGAGAGAAAAGAAAAGTTAAAAATTAAAGAAGAAAACTTACGCTGAAATCTCAAAAGAGGAATGCGAAGAAGGAAAGAATGAAAAGCCCTAGAATTTCTACGAAGAAAAAACAGAGAGAGCGGTTAAACGCGTCGTTTTCTTTTTCATTATTTATAGGCCGGAGGATAAGAACAAGTCAACATTCAAAGATAAAGAGATGGTTTAATTACGAAAACTCCCCATCTACTTTCGCGGAATTACGTTAATGGGCTTGGAGAAGGTGGAATGTTTCAAACGTAAACTCGGTCTAAAAGGAGGATTTTTTTTTAAGTTGCAAATATAACCATAAGATTTAAAGACGATGAAATTTGAATAATGTGATTTTAAAAAGAATTTTATGAGATGGGTCTAATAATATTGAAAAGCACATAAAAACAATGATTAACTATATAAGTGATCCTTAAATTTGTAGAACGCTATTAATTTAGTCACTAAACTTTAAAAACTTATAATATATCATTGATTTTTATTTATTTTCATTATGATCATAGTTGTCGGTTTTTGTTAAAAATATGGCATGACACGATAAAGTGTTATTTTAAGAAAATTCTAAACATCTCAAACTATTTAGCAGTCGTTATTGTGTTATTATAGTCAGACATTCCTTCAATCATCATCATATCTAAACACAACACCCATCATATTCAATAAATTCATTATCTTTCTACGATCGTCAAACCCTTCGTCGTCATTGTTTCATCTAAGTCCTAACCACCACAACCACAATCAAACTAACCTCGAGTCACCATCACCAATCTTATTCAGTCAACGTCCACGGTGAAAACCATTAATAGCGATAGACAATAAATAACAAAAAAAACAAACAAAAAAAAGTAAAAGAATGAAAATGAAAAACTAACTATCTCGACTTTGGATAATTTCCGATGAAAGAGATATATAAACGTAAGGATAATAAGTTGACCCGAATTCAATGAATTTTAATTCAATTTGATAGGAGTGTGTGCATATGCGCGTGCGCTTGTGCGTCTGCGTGTGGATGTTGTGTGCACGTGTGTGTGAAAATCTCTAATTCAACCCGATATCATATTAATTATATATAGAAAAATTGTTATAATATCAATCTTTATATTTTTCTTCAGTAATGTTCTTATTTTATCGAATAAAAAATAAATTTTTATATATTTATATCAACCAGGTTAAAGGTGAACTTTTATCATGAAATTTAGATCGAATTTCAAATCGAATGGGACATTCTAAATTTAAATCAGATCAAATTTAAACAAAAAAAATATACTTCTCAAGCTAAATCAAATTAACCGAAACTCAACCCAACATTACTTATTATCATCCCTATATAAGTCAGAGTACATTGAAATAAGTGAAACGTATCGTGAACAATAATACAAATACAAAGTGAATTAATAAATTTGTTTTTTATACTAAATTAATAAATTTAGATTTAACATCGACAATTTGATATTTTATACTAAATTAATAAATCTTAAAAAACATTATAACAATAAAATCAAATTTTAAAAAAGTCGAGTCACATTATACTCGAGAAAACAAACTTATAATTATATGAGAAAAAGAATTATTAATAACTCGAGAAAATTTCGTGAGAAAGATTAAAAAAATCGAGTAGAATCAATTATTAATATAATATTAATTTATTCGGTTTTATTACTAAATAAAAAATTAAACCGATTAACAAATTAAATTGAATTGATAATCGAATTAGTCGAGAAATTGAAACTCTTTTAGTACTGAAAACAATAAATCTATACCTATCAAGTTGTCTTTTTTAATAGATAGATCTCCTAAAGAGGGTCCGTTTTTTAACAGATTTCGACGGATCGGCCCAAAGCCATTAAAATCCACCTACTATCAAAATCCCCAGTCCCCCCCCCCTTATTTTTATTTATTTATTTTGTTTTTCAATTATAAATTTCCGATTCTCTTTCTCCTCTGTCTGTCTGTTCTTCTCGCTCTTGGGTTTATTTCCTTTTAATTCAATTTTTTTCATCTTTATTTCTGCTCTTTGTTGTTTTTATTATTTTTACTTGATCAATCCTTGTATTCAATTGTTTGGCATATAAAATTTCCTTTTTTGTTGTTTTTTCCTCTGTGGGTTTTGTCATTCGATCTCAAAACTGTGTTATTTGCTGCTAAATACGTTCTCCCACATTGATTCCAAGGGTTTTTTAAGGTAAGAAGTTGGTCAGTTTCCTTTAAATTTAATTAGGGTTTTGTTGTATTCCCCCCCCCCAAATTTTTATAGTATTATTTAAATGCAAAAGTTTTAACTTATTCCGGGTAGCTTAATTCTTGATTTGATACGATTAGTAGTTTTTTTTACGGTGCTAATTTTCTGTTTGTTCTCCTTTGTTTTTGGTGAAATATAGGGATGGTGATGACATGATGAATCAAGCTACTAATACGCAAACATTAGCCTCAGTTGACCCGAGTTCTGTTGAGGTAATTTCTCCCTTTTCTTTGTTTCGAGAAAAATGCTAAAATGGCTAAAGAAGTTGATTTAGGTAATGGGTTGGGTTAACAAAATATTGAGATCGAATATTAAGGGTGCGTTTGGTTCACGAAATGTAAGATTATCAGTGGGAATAAAAGATTACCATTGAGAATAAAAGATTACCAGTGGGAATAAAAGATTACCAGGGAATAGGATTACTGGGAATGTTGTATTTTGTGTTTGATTGATTTAGCAGGAATGTAAAATTACCGTGTTTGGTTAAAGGAATAAAAGATTATTAGAATGTATATTTAACCAAATTGTCCTTATTATATATTTGTAAAATATTACAAATTGTAAAATATTTATATATTTTCTTTAAAAAATTAAATTCATAATATTTATATAATTTTTTTACAAAATTAAAAATATAAAAAAGGTTTAATGAAAAGTTAAATTTTTTTTAAACCCTGAACTTCATATAAAATTTTAATTATAGATTTTTTTTGTAAATCTAAAATAATTTAAGGATAAATTTGTAATTTAACTTTCGTAGAATTTTTATTATTCAATGACAGAAGAAGAATATTTTTGAAAAAAAAATAAAAATTTAAGGGCATTTTAGTCAAAAACACTGGTAATGTTTAAATACCTAAGGGAAGGGAGGTAGTGATATTCCCGGTAATATACCTAAAAAAATCTACTATTGGTAATAAAACATTACCGGGAATGAGATTCCCGACCAACCAAACATGGGACACAATCCTTGAACCAAACACCCCCTAAAGGTAATAAATTAATAGTAGACTTTCTTACGAATTTGCTTTGGATTTTCGAAAATGAAAATCAAAGATTGTAGGAAAGATTGTGATGGAAGTTTCTAAGTTATTTAGTTGGATTTTAGTGCTTTAGGTAATATTGTGCTGAATAGCGTTGCTTGATGTAGTTACTTTAGAATTGATGACAAAGGTGTTGAAATCAAATATTGAAGGTGGTAACATAGCTTGTAGTTAGGGTTGAAGTGTTATGTTATGTTATTCTCCTTAAGCATTTTTGAAACAAAAAATGTTTGTGTCGTGAATTGGGTTTGGATATAGAGTTCATTCCAACGTTAAAAGGGTTTCATAATCTTAGTTGAGAGACAGTGTTGTTGTTTGCAACAAGTTCAGTTTGAAGTTACTGAATTGTTTAGCTCGGTTTTGGCTCTTTAGGCTTTCATGCGAGAAAAAAATTTGCTTGTTGTGAACTAGGTTGGTTTGCAGTTGGATTAAGGAAGTATTGTAATCATGAACATAAAGGCATTATTTGTAATGAATATTGGGTTTGAAGTTTGTAAGATGTTTGTATTGGTTGTGGAGTTTTCTTGTTGTGAAAGGGGTTTAAGTTTACATCAATGGTTTGTTTGAAAATGTTCAGGTTTTTACGTGGTGGATGGTTTGATTTGTGCTTACCACATCCAAGTTAATGGCATATTTTATAAATAATCTGATTTAGTTGAATTTTATATTAGATTAGTTAGATTAGTTATTTACTTTCATATTAACTGGCTTATGATTCTATTATTTTGGTTGGTTCATGCCTTCATATGTCATTCACTAACTTTTGTTTCTTTTTTCTCAGAATCGGTATGTTGTTAATGCAAGTCAAGGCCAGACTCCTTTATATGTTCCCACTACAACTGGTTCGGAAGCTGCATTATGGAACATGTATAGGGTAGATAATCACTCTGCAGAAAATGGAAGTTTTTCAAATTCCACTTACCACCATGTCCAGCACAGTGAGCCA